AATTATGTTGCCACTGGTAAATTACAGCAGGAATGTGACAGAATTAGTGGCCCAGGAGAGAAGCATGCACAGCGGCCACTGGTCTTACAAAGAGGAAACAAGTAGAGGTGCGTCGAAATAAAAATGTTAAAACCGAAACCAAACCGAAATTGAAAGTTTTTCATATTTTAAAAAATATTTTAAATGTTTTTATTTTATTTTACTTTATTTTTATTTTACTTTATTTTTTAGGGGCTTTCGGGGAAATATTAGGGGGTCTTAGACCCCTGATATTTCTCTTTTAAAATAGAACAAGAGATTGAGGACGCAGAGTCCTCAATCTCTTTTTCTGGAGCCTCTGTTCCTCTATACTGAGTGTTCCTGTTCATTTATAACTTGTGGAGATAGTATGTTTACCATGTCCACTATCAGGAATGAACAGGAAGTGATGTAGATCACTCCCATTCATTCATAATTGAGGACACAGTAAACATACCATGTCCTCAATTATTTACAAACACTCAGCTATCACTGAGTGTTTGTACCCGCTCTACATCCTGACACGCTGTAACAGGAGGTTGGGCGGTGCGGGAGGAGAGCTCAGCCTCCTGTGACAGCAAGGACAGCTGTCTCCGTCCACACCACCGCTCTCCTGATCTGTCACAGGAGGCTGAGCGATGCGGGGAGGAGAGACGCCGGACACAGAGCAGCGCCCAGCGGGGAGGAGAGAAATTACGGGTGCACCGCTTTTTCGGCCAAAAAATGGCACTTTCTGCATTTTGCCAAAAGTGCCATTTTTGGCCGATCTATCGGTGCATTCCTAAAAATAAGAGACACTGAGCTCTTATTATGCATGTATCTGACAGAGATTTCATAGAGGCTGCAGCACTGGATTACAAAAGAAGACCATATTTGTTAAAGATAAGCAATGAAATTTGAATATCTGCATTAAAATTTCTGCCTGGAGTTCAGCTATAATCTACACTTGGACAAAAGTTGGGCCCATGTACAGACTAGGCCTACAATCCAAGGGTCCTCTGATACAGGGATCAGTCTAAAGTCTAATCAGTTACTTTAACACACCACAAGTTTCTGTAATGCTGAACTGCTGTGAAGTCGTAGGCCTGGAAACTTTATGAAGTCCATATATGTGAGATGTTTATCATTGTTTAATATCTGCAAATTCTATTAGTTGAAACTATAGTCAACAGAATTTAACAGTTAACAGAAAATGATCAAAATGCTTAGATGTTAATGATAAAATCTTTCAAAAAATCTGATGGTTTTATATGACGTTTGAGGTGCATACTTGATAGATGCTGCTTCTACAATCTAGAAATCTGGCAAACCAGTTTGTGCAAGAGTAGTTGTGGATGGATGTCAGCTCCTGTGGCTTGGCGACCTCAGCCAGTTCTTTTCCAACAAATATGTGTTTGCTGAGTTTTAGAAAATGTTACAAATTTGGAGGAGCAACAATAGCAGGCTTCAAAATTCAGAATATTCAATGCACAGGATGATGCCAGTTCATAGTCATTGGATATCCACCGCTCTTTGCATAGTTTGGTTGCTTCAAATTTCAAGTCTGGTTTTGTGCTTCCATTGCTGTGCTGCCTATACAGAACAGGCTAAAAATTGGAATAGCTTTTGTTGAATTATGACACTGGTGATGATTACATACATTGTAGGGATGTTCAGATACCAGTGCAGATACTTGGCATTTTCACAAGAACCAACAGGGTTGCAGCTGGAACCTAGCTCTGGTGCTCCACCACTGTCCTGAAATCATTAGCCTGTATTGTTTTAGAAAAACTGTCACATGACAATAAACAAAAATGTATCAGTACTTGTACTTGAAAAAATGGTATCAGTGCATCACTAATATATATATTTATATGAAACAAATCATACATTAAAACAGGGATGCAAGAATCCCAGGAGCTTCGTATGCTCCTTAAAAATGACAGCTGCCTCCTAACTTTTGAATTTTTCTCTAGTCTTTGAGATGGAAAAGTATCTGTACATGTACCTGTCCTTGTACCGAGTACGGTACTTGGCATCTGAACATCCCTAATACATTGTATTGATAATGGTATTTTTTGGAGTAGTGCTTGCAAGCCTATTCATCAATTGCATTTTCAGCTGCTCTTTTTATTTAGACACATACGTAGCATGCTGCATCCCCCCAATTGTTACTGCAAACCAGTTTAGGGTAATCTTTTTTTTTTTGCAATATTATCTGTACTGTTCTGCTAGTGTACGTGTAGGTTTAAAATGACTACACTGAGATGAGCATTTTTCTAGTCAATGAGACAATAGAAAGGTCCATGGAGACCTTGTCAGCGCTGTTAAATAGTGTATCTTTAATCATCCATGTCCTAGAAATTGCTTTTAAGTAGTTCCTTTATCTTAGTAAAGGTTCAAGGTACAATAAACATGGAACTTAAATTGCATAAAACATGCAGCTTCACGCGTTTAAAGGTAATGAGGCTGATATACTAAAGGATTTGAGAATGTTCACACAATAAAATGTCTGAAGATTCACTTCAATGATCCAATCATGTAAAAAGATAATCCCTGTTTACTCATTTACTTCTGCACATGATTGAATATTCACTCAATAAATACATTCTCAAATCCTTTAGTAAATCAGCCTCCATATGTTCAATAACCTATTTATCTAGCTGTTTTGTCTTACCGTGTCAGACAAGTGAGCAGGGTAAGACAGTAATGAAAGTCTTCCTTTCAGCCATCCCTTTTTCAGTTTGCATTTTTCTAGTGGTCTTGGGCACTGTTACAAGAAAAATCATCCAGTTGTACAGCTACAAGGAACAGAGAAAGCACAGGCACAATGCTTTGAGCCCATAAACTAACTCATTTTGAGCATATACAGTTAGAATTATTTTGATTTGACATTGTGAGAATTAGCTAAACATTTGATCTTTTATGCACTCTATAGAAGTACAACTCAACTACATCATGTTCTCAGTTGCCGGACCTCTGTAGATAGTCTGCTGCGGATAGTCTGCATTCTAGCCATATCGTGATTGCCTCAGTCATGGTCAAGTGAAGTGTTTGGAAATCTATGTGACAGCATGCTGCAGACTCGTTGCAGGAGAATTTCATTTCAAGCCATCTGTGTATCCATGTTTTGCAGAGAACAGCTTTCTTGAACAGAATGACTGAATTTAAAGTTGAAGTGCAGTTTTGATGGTGTTATAAAATAATAATTGCATTTCCACACTATAAACGCAGAGGTGTCCAACCTCAGCTGACATTTTAGATGTAACAAATGGCGGCTTAAAGTATGTCTGTAAAAAGAACACAAAATGCCTTTGTCAATAGTATTAAACAATACCTATTCTAAAAGGTTAAACTTCCTATGGCGCTAATCACATAGCTAGAAACCTAGGTAGTTGATCATCTGCCCTTGAAGGGTAGCCTCAGAATTTGAATTAGCTAATATTCTCTGTCACCAGTGTTCCTGATACCAAATGCCTTTGTGTAACCAGCACTGCAGGAAGCTTGGATTATCTTTTTCTCCCGGAAATGTTTAAATTTTATCCTTTCTATTACCCATATTTAGCTGTAGCATTTGAGTATAGGTTCACATTACTAATTTTAGTAAAATGTAGCCAATCAAGCAATCTCACTTTGGCTTCATGCCTATAGCAAGCATATAATAAAACAAGTGTTCAGACAACTGTTGATCACTTGCTGTAAGGACTGTCACAAACAGCATCAAAGTGAAGTAGGAACTACATGTGACACCACAAAATCCATTTTTTTGTCTGCTAATAGGTCTTGTATGCCTGATACTGAGTCTAAATTTCAGCAAGCTGACTGAAAGGAGAATTAAGGGGAGAGTGAAAAACGCGCATTCCCATAATTCAAGCCGACCTGTGACACTGAAGCTGTCACAGGTCGGCTCTATTGATCGGGAAGTCAGCGAACACACACCGCCGATTGCGGTCTTCTCGATCCTCTCCCTGCAGAGAGCAGTGACTCTCAGTCACCGCTCCCCACAGGGATTCCTCCCCTCTCCGTTTCTCCAGCGCTGACTGGAGGAAAAGATGGGGAGGGGGCGGGCACCGCTGGCTTTGCCTCTAGAGAGGCAGAGCCAGCTCCCAATCAGCCAGCGGGGTGGATCTCGACAGTAATGTCGGGTTCCATCCCGGCTGTGGCGTGGCTCTGCGCTCACAGCATATAGCAGGCAATGGCCCTCTATATACTGAGATTTGGGTCACCGGAGGACATTAGTATATAATATGTCCTCCTGTGACTCTGAAGAGACCTATGGCCAAAAACGGTTAAGCCATAGTTCGCATGCAACAAATATATCAGAAATTGTTATGTAACATGAAAAAATTAATATATAATAATGATTTATAGCAGGATCTACACAAAGCAATTGTATGGTTTGGCCTCTTGCGGATGCTTCCTTTTTTACCCATCCATATAAATTGCCTTGGAGCTGATGCTAATTGCAAGTAGGAAAGGTCAGGTATGCACAATCTTGTAATCTTGTAGCCTGGACATCATTCAGTATATCGCAGTCCATTGCGTTTATTATTTATTCAGCAGCTTGCAGTTAATATGTCACTCCCTCCCCCAATTAAAACATTAAAAAAACAAACCTTTTTAAAGCAATTAGACAGGCAAATGCAGCTTGCTTTTGTCACACGTCGGCTCGAACTATGAGGATGACTGATTTTCACTCACCTCATAGTTCTCCTTTAACTTATACAGTACATTGATTATTGATATTTTTTATTTACTTTGTAAGTCAATTTCGAAACTTTTTGTTAAAGTTTTTTTAGTTTTTACCACTGTACAAACGTAAGGCTATGGTATACAGTAATGGGAGGGTATGTATGTGTTTGTGTGTTGGGGAAAAGAAGGGATGATAACAATATTAAAAGCAACAGACAAATATGCATGAATTAAAAGTATTACTTTATAAACAGAAAATTGTGATTTCTAAGTGTCATTGGGAGATAATGTGTATTTTATTATTTCTTTAGCTCTGCACTCCGGACCATGTCAACTGGATCATCAAGACCTTCCAAAGTTTGTTTGGTTTGCGGAGATGAGGCATCTGGATGCCACTATGGTGTGGTTACCTGTGGAAGCTGTAAAGTCTTCTTTAAAAGAGCTGTGGAAGGTAAATGTTCAAGTGGGTGAATATTTTTTACTATTTCTCTTTGTTGTTTGTTGTTTCGTTCTTGATGCATGCTAAGTGTGTTGGTCTGCATGGAAATGAATTGTCCAACACTACAGTGGTTATATCATCCATTGAAAATGTATAAGGATTGTTTGATCATTTTTGTTGAAGTTCTAAATAGCTGACATCTCTTTTCTTCGGTAAGCAGTTTTTAAAGGACACTAAGTAAGAAACAATGTGTGACTGACCATTGTTATTGTGTCAATAAAAAAAACCAAATCAAAATAATTTCCATCCTAAAGGTCTTGGGTCAATTGTTTCAAATTTTATTTATATCCTTTTGTTTGTATGTTTTAAATGTTTTTGTATGTGTTTTTACTATATGTATACAATCTTTGTTTAATGCATAACAAAGGATTCATAGACCATTATGAGTTATCTAAAAAGACAGCAGTAGCAGTTGGGTTTCACAACTGGCTTTGTCTGATTGGAACTTCAGACAGAGCTATCTAATAAAGGATGACTTCCTGCAATGGGATATTTCATTTCTGTGTGTGAATTGCAGCTTGTGCTTCTGAGCTCAGTATACAACATGCTGTTTACATCAAACTACTAAGCAGTCCCTGGAGCAAATGTGAAAAGAAATGTAAAGCACCACTTGCTGGCTAAATATTAATAGGCAATATTCAATATTTACCTGAAATATAATTATTTTTAAAATTTTATTTTTTTTCTTGTCCGTACCACACGTGAAGAAAATCATGTGCAAAACATATTAAACATTTATGTATACAAAATAATAAAAACTAAAAACATAGGGGGGCACATCCCAACCCTGCCCCCCCCCCCCCCGCCCCCCTCTCCC